GGATGGAGATCACAGACCATTGCTAATGGGTATGTATGTATGTATGAACGTGTGTCTGTCTGTCTCTATGGATATGTGTATTTCGAATCTACAGATCTATATCCATCACAAATCTGATTCCGAACCGCTGTGATACTTAGATAGGAATGACTGATCTGGAGTCGCTGAGTTAGGAGAAGGGAGGAATCAAACTTACGCCTAACCTTTGTTTCAAACATCAATATGTGGGCAGGCATGACGGAGAGCTGGCGAAAATTGTGGTCGAAAGGGTTTCAAGCGAATTGAAGACAATGTGGATCGAGAGGCTCCCCATATTTCCCATGTTGATGTCCAATTACCAAATAAGATCAGGTATCTCCCAATTCCATTTGAGCCAAGTGACTACCATTCGGAAGTATTCTCATCTGAGAGTTTTGGCCTCCCTTCAATTCTCACATGGAGAAGGCATGCAAGCTTCGCATGGTTTATGAACCGAAGCGATTTTGTGGCTCTTAAGAGTTACTCGGTCCTTTTGAATTTTCGTATGATTCGTATGGTTACTTGATCTTATCATCATCCCTTTGGTTTTTCTTGTTGGATCACAGTGTATGGTTACTTTTCGGAGAAGATAAGAGGAGAGGTGTTCTTGGCCTTTCACGGCCCTGATACTCGACGTGGCTTTGCTGCTTGCCTCTACAGCAGCCTTGTGGATGCAGGAATCAGAGTGCTTAATGATGATGATCCGTGCCTCATAGGTGCAGATCTTGTTCATGGGATTGACAATGCCATCGGCCACTGCAAAATATCAATTCCAATTCTCTCTGTAAATTATGCTTCCTCTCAATGGTGCCTCGACGATCTTGCTCGAATGGTTGATTGCAAGAAAAAAAAAGGGCAAAAGATATTGCCCATCTTCTACAAAGTGAAGCCCTCATATGTGAAAGAGATCTCGCATCGTTACGGAAAGCACATGAATAAACATGAGAAAGTGGTCGACGCAGTTGTCTATGGGAAGTGGGAGCAAGCTCTTAAGGAGGTTGGGTCCTCCAAAGGATTGGAATCGAAAAAATTCGCCGATGGGTACTTACTTTCATCAAATTCCCACCAAAATCTTAATTTGATACTATAACAGGAAACCTCTTATACTGCTTAGAGCTTACTTCAAATTTATTGGGCAATTGGCAGGGATGAAGGATTACTTTTGAAAAAGGTGGTCGACGAGGTTTTGAGCGTGTTGACAAATCCCCAAAAAACATGATCCATCCTCATCCTTCAAATATTGACTCAATCCTGAATTTTGGTAACTACTCATTTTTAGCATATGTGGTTCCTCTTTTACAGGAGGATTTTCCTCTGCGATCAAACGTATCACCATTTTGTTTGTTCGTCGTCTGCATTAACTCTTTCGTAGACCAGCGAAAAGTTCTTTCAAATTTAAGAAACATGTTAAGCATGTTATATCGTGTAATTTCTTTAATAGAACGTCGTTTTTGGATTCAGGCGTGACACCATTAATGAATGTCTCATGTCCGGATTTGACAAGATTGTTCTGTTACACAGAGAAAAGACGTGAAAAGAAGTGTGAATGAGGGCAAGGTGACCAAGGGGGGATGAAAGGAGGAGAGAAAAATTGTCTATACAACAAGTCCGGTCATCTTAGTTAGTGGTCTGAACTCTGAAGGAGCCATAAAGGAGTCGCTATTGATTTGAAGTAGACGGTCATCTCCTAAAATGCAAATTGCCTTCTAATAAAGTCTGGCCTGGAAGTTGAAGTAAACGGTCTGAACTCTAAAGGAACCATAAAGCCGTCCTGGCGTCCTGGCCGCGCACAGCCAGATGCTGGCGGGCCCAAACCACTTGCAGGCCCTAGCCTGGAAGTTACGGAACCGGGGTGGAAGTTGCGGAACCAGGGCCATGAAGGGTGCCCTCCGCTAGTCGGTCTTCACGAGCCTGCCCCTCGTGGCCCAGTCGTCCTCGTTCCACAGGCTTGAGTACACCCTCATGCCTTGCTGGTTTGGGTACCCGACTCCCTAGCTCTGGTAGTTCCTGAACACTCGGATGGGTATGCTATCGACTTACCATCGCTCTCTACACGAAATCGCGATATGAGATTGTTGTGTCGTTACGTAGTCATGGAAAAATTTATGAAGTTAAAACCATTCTGGATGGAACCAATTAGACATCAATCGCTCTTTTCCGAACGCGATCCAACTCGAACTTACAGTTTTTGCCTTGATTATCCATTCTTTTGCCGTGCTTGACGACAACAAGAAAATTCCATCCTTTGTAGTAGTTACAAGAAAAAAATCTATCTCGAAATTAAGAGATTGGCGAGAGCTACGTGGGACTTGAAACTTAACACAACTTCGGTGGGGTTCCAGTGAATGACGTGGTTGTGGAAATTGGCCGCGGGGTCGAACCACAGGTAGAACTGCTGTTCTCTGTTACCGATTCCTTGAGTGAATATGTCTGTGTGGATGGTGCAAGGTTGTCCGGAAATGTTGCTCAGGAATTCAAAGTCGATCTCATTGTGCTTTGGCCCCGTGGAAGAAAGCTGCAAATAATGTGCGCGCAAACGCGATTGAATCCTTAACATTTGTAAGTTTAGGGGCTTTTCTGCATAGATAAAATTTGATTTGATCTTACGTAGTTTGCAGTGACTATCCCAGCAATATTTCCAGGGACCAACTTGATCAGCATTTCGATGCTTCCAAACAGTTAAGCGCTCTTGGTTTGAAAGGCCGAGCCTGCAAATCCAAGGCGGAGATCCGGTATTTTCTGAATCCTCATGTAAGGAATTACAAAAGAAATTCTTTCAACAAAGATGTGAATTAGGAAGGATTGGTCGACGAAATACCGATATTCCACTTTGAATTCGTTTATAATCAGACTGCCGGCTTCGATTAGAGTTGTAATGGTAGCATGGTCGGATCCTAAACCCAGCAACTTTATAATCTGTCCATTCACCATAAGATCAACGATTATTAGTTCACAAAAGAAAAAACACCATTCGTTATGATTGTTTGTTAGCAATGGGATTGTACTTAAGATCAACGATTATTAGTCCACAAAAGAAAGATCACCATTCATTACGTAACTATGCTATATAATCCGACAAAGCTATCCGCAAAGTGTTCCTACGGAGACACAATGGCACAACCAATTCCAGGGCAAGGATTTCTGTGAGTCGTGACTTTAGTCGACTCGTAATCGTTGGAACATCATTAGATCTTGAGGAAATGACAAAATCGTCCCCAAATTAAGTTGCTCTTCGGAGAGCACAATGCGATGAAAGTTGTAAGCTACTGTGCTCGGGAAGAGTTATTGTCTATCGTTGGCCTCTATAGTAGAATTAGCCGGGAGGCTGAAGAGACGGTGGTTTATCCTGTAGCGGACCTTAGGGGCTGCTTATCTCCAACAAGTGAACTTATATGATACAAAACTATATGACCGAATCTTTTTTTTTTTTTTTCAATTTGGCAATTCGATCTATGATTTCTCATTCATGTACATTGATAAGATCCTTCCATTTAGCAGTATCTCAAATTTAATTTTGGTTCCTATACTATTTCGGAAAAGTGTAAAAAAAGTAATAAACCTATTGCATTGGTGTTGATTTAGTCTTAAACCTTTTAATAGTGCCAATTTAGTCATAAACCTTTTAACTTAAAGCCAATTTAGTCATTCCGGCTAATTTTGGCCGGCTGGTCGGATATTGCTGACGTGGACGCCAGTCGGCCTATGTGGCACGGCTGGCACTAACGTGGACAACTTTTAATAATGTTTTAATATTTTTTCGAATTTTTATTTATTTTTATTTCTATTTCCTTTTTTTTTTCCTTCCTTTCCTTCTTCCGCCAACTGGTCGTTGGACCTCGGCAACTGGCTGGAGGAGAGGGCTAGCAAGGTCGGCCTCATGCTAGGCTGGCGAGGGTTGAGGCTTGACCTCGCTAGATCCAGTGAGGATTAGATGAGGTCGTGTCTCGCCTAGCCACTAGCAAGGCTTAAGCCCTCGTTAGAGACTGCAAGGTCGCGACCTTATCAGCCCTCGTCGGCCATGGCCGTGCCGGTCACCAGAAGAAAAAAAAAAGAGAGAAAAAAAAAGAAAGGAAAAAAAGAAAGAAAAAAATTGAAAAAATTGAAAAAATATTATTAAAGTTATCCATATCAGTGTCGGCAGTACAACATAGGCCGACTGGTGTTCATGTTAGCAACATCCGGCCAAAATTAGCCGGAAGGACTGAATTGGCTTTAAGTCAAAAGGTTTCTGATTAAATTGATACTATTAAAAGGTTTAAGACTAAATTAGCATCAACGTAATAAGTTTATGACTTTTTCGACACTTTTTCCGTTATTATTTAGTCCCCCAAGTTATCTCTGACGGCAATTTTAGAACGAAATTCAATTTTTCCTCCATAAGTATAATTTTTTTTTTGTGATACAACAACAAAACTTTACAACAAGGAAAAATAAAATTTCATTAAATAGTTGGGCAAAAGCAAGCCAAAATCCAAAACTATTCTCACAATGGTATATTTACCCTAAATATTTTTTTTTTTCTGTGATACAAAAAAACCCAAACATGTACCTATATACTATATTTACTCTCTGTCAAAGTTTTGTCAATGAGAACTGATGAAAATCTGCCTGCATGGACATCAGAAAGCAAACAATATTGACATGATATCCACATGACTTAAGTGAAATAAAAACAATAATGTTTTGGCTGAAAAATTATCTGATGGAACTTTGATGGGGTGAATGTATCATATAAGTAAAAGTTTGGGGCCTTTTATATCATAATAAAATATTTAGGGTAAATGTATCACAATGAACATAGTTTGAGATTTTTGATGTCATAAAAAAGTTCAGGATAAATATGTCACGGTGAATATAATTTAGGATTTTTTGTGACTTTTTCTCAAAATAATTTAGAAGGTCTTGAGGCCCGCCCAGTTATAACGAGTAAATTCCCAATGCAAGCCCATCCCCATATCGAATCTTGATCTAGCCCGAGCAACTATCAGTTTGTCATCATTATCCTCTCTTTCCGTTGATAAGGCGCACCAAAAAATGCCACCACCCATATATATGAGCTAAAAGAAACAGTGACTCTATCGGAAATGAAGTCACTGGTTCTGCAATCTCAGTTCCTTCTTCCAAGAAGCACCAAGCTCTCCAACCCAAGATCCAATGCCACCACTTTCATCCCCTCAAGAATCATCACATCATGCAGTAAGCACCGCTCTTCACCATCTCCTTCTTCATCATCATCACCATCATCTTCCAAATGCAATTCCATTTCAAGACCCACAAGAGCCATCCAGAAGACCCAAAATCAGCACTCTCCTCATGTTTCACCAGATGGGTGGTCGAGAAAGGTGGTTTTAGGTGCTGTTTTACTTGGGATTGTGCTGGTCCTCATGGGGTTTGAGGACCACCACAACAAGGCTTTGGCCTTTGGTCCTGAAGGGCCACTTGCGGAGGAGTTCTGGGAGAATGTCAGGAGATATGCACTCTATGCCCTCACTGTGAGTACAGGCGCTATCTACACTATATTTCAGCCCATCTTGGAGCTGCTCAAGAACCCGATTTCCGCAATTCTGATCCTGATGATCTTAGGAGGCAGCATCTTCATTGTATACCAGGTGGTGGCTACCATGGTTGGGGTCAATGAATTCTCTTATGAATATGCATATTAATTTAATCCGAAGTCTCAATTTTCCGGAAGATAGATTCTCAAATGTCTTTTCATGTTGCTCTTTGATTTTATGTCTTTAACACATGAACCATGGTTCTCGGAATAGTAGAATATTAGCAAGTTTTGCTCACAATATATAATGATGCGCATTACTGGTTGGTTTTGCTTATCTCATGGATGATGTCTATAATGTCATCAGATGAACAGAATTTTGTAACTGCGTTCTGTATGCTTGGCATATTAGAACGTATCCAACTACAGATAGTTTGGTTTGGATTTTGAGAGGGTTAAATACACGGTAGGTTGGCTCAATTTGTAAATGGTTTGATTGAGTCCTTCACAGTACACATCCATGTTAAGGGTGGTGCACAAATCTGTCTGAAGCCTCCAATAAAACTCATATAGCAACACACTAGTTGTCTGGGCATCTGCGAAGAGGGAAATAGACTTTGAATGATGCCAAAATGGGTTAATGAACACTTCATATTTTGATCCAAACAGAAGAAAAAAGGCGCATTGGACATCCTTCAATTTCCAACCTAATTATCTGATTCAAGGTTGGTGCAAGATCTTCCGTGTTGCTGCAAGTTCTATCATCAGCTGGTGGACATTCTCCCCGAGTAGCCTCTTTCCTTTAAATTTTCCCTTTTATCGTTTCCTCGGAAGTGTGCAGGTTACTATGCTTTTTTAGAATGTAATTCATGAAGTATGGCTAAACCTCTTATGTTAGTTTTGTCTAAACATGGGAGATAGTTGAACTGTTCTTTATCTCTAGTTCTTACTTGTCGAGACACTACATCCAGGCTTCCTGAATCAAAGATTATGATTTCCCGTTTCTTCAAATCCCCAGAAAAATCCATGCTTGCTCTAGGGGCTTAGCTTACTCTCTAAGATTCTGGACAAGTTCTATTGATTGTTGCAGTTCAATGAACATTTTCACAGATAAGTGCTTCTGAAGCCATTTTCATACTCATCCGTGATCATAAACTTATAAACTCTACCGTCTTCTTAAAGATCTGCATTATGACATTGAAAGTTATTTCTGCAAATCAATAGACAAGAGGCCTCTTCTTCAAACACATCACTTGTCCGATATTATCCTAGACAAAAATATGGTGATATGTTTGATTTTTTGCAGGCTTTAGATGTGTGATTATGCATGTTGCAATGCCCACAGAAATCGCGTGTCATCTTGCCGTTTTTTGAAGCAATGGAGATGGATTATCGCCATTAGTTCTGTCACTGCACTTTCATGTGAGAGTACGTGCATGAACCGACATTTAATCTTAATGATCAAAACAAGTACATGAAGGTAACTATAACAGGATTAAGCCGTTGTCCATATCATGGCTAAATATCCAATCCTCCTCTGCCTCCTTTAGCCATCATTGCTTCTCTAATGTCTCGTACAAATCCTTGCTAAATTCTTCACATTTGTGGTTGTAATTGTTTTTATGTTCATAGTAATTAAACGTAACCCAGGAAACACAGGGAAATCACCACTTCTGTAGGAAGAAAAACCATTGAAATAGGCAAAATTACTACTTATGGGAGCTTCAGTCAACAGAACCATAGAACACCAAGATGCATAACCGTCTCAATGTTCAATGATGCTAGATAGACCTCAAAAGTTCCTTAAAAGTTGTCTACAAGGTCGAACGTGAGTAGGCTCTTGGCATCTCACCCCTAATCACAACTCATCCAACTGATTAAAATGCCAATCTTGTGCATTTTGTCCAAGATCCCACTCGATTAGTTACTCTGTTGGAGTTTGCAAAACTGTTTAGTAGATTTTTGTGTTCAGGGGTGTCTAAATGAAGGTGATGGCTCTGGAGATCAGATGCTATCTGACATGAATTTGCCTCTGTAGACAAGACCACCTGAATTCAAGATGCATCACCATCGCAAAAGAGAAGAGGGGCCTGAGGAGCAGAAAGTAGACTCTGAGATGTTTCTGAGGGAGTACCACTCAGGCAGAGTTTCATTGTTACGCTTGATGAGAACAAAGAGTATGTAAAGTGCAAAGAGGGACTTTCCAAATCTATGGTCTCACCTATCGTAATTGATCTAATGCTCAGAATAAAGATGAAATTAATTATATATACTCTATCTGCTAGAAACATAGATTTGGACCAAGGCAGAATATTTAGGGACCATATTAATCAGACATAATGGCACTTTAAAGGTCGGTGTTATGAGATTTGACTGAACTGCTGTAATTAAGTGACTCTTATATGTATTATGACTGTAAATCCAACCACAAAGGTCAGGCCCAAGTGCTCAAAGTATAGACTTAGCAAGCCTTCAGCAATTATATTAGTACTTGTTCTATTGTATTTTGGCAACATGGGTACATATTGTCATTTTCTGTATCCATTATTGGAATCAACTGTAGACAACACCATCAATCTCTTGGAAATAATAGAAGCTCTTTCATTTCATGAAGATACCTTGAAGTCTTCTCGATGTTTATTTATTAACTGCTCAAACAAGAAATGAAGTTAAGGGATTTGCATGTATAACTAATTACTTGCTTATAAAAAAAAACCTGCTAAAAGAAGTAATAATATTAGTACCAGCCCTTCGTTCCCTTACTAAGTGGTTATCAAGGCTGAATGAATCTGAAAGCTGCTTAAAGAAAGTTCAAATTCTTATTCACCTAACCCTTGCCGTTTTGATGTTTCAAGAAGGTTTTGACTCCCAATTTGCATCTAGTTGGGCTTTTGGAGCAGCTGTGGATTGCGAATTTGTGATGATGTGACATCAAGAATACACTAGAAGTGGAATCGAGCTTCGTAACTAAAAAAAATAGTAAATTAATTAGAAGGATTTTGAAATTGCTGTAAAAATGTAGAAACGTCTGATTCTGATGAAGTTAGAAATCTTGCCTGTTTTATGCTCTCTTTCCCACTGTTAAAGATAATGTTTTCTTCAAACTTAATATTTTTTTTCCTAATATGTTAGACTGCTCCAGCTGTAACATAGTTTTGTCAAACAATTAATCTTAATTCTATATCTGAACGCTATTAAAAATGTGATATATATGAAGGTGAAACCCATCTAATTGTACCTTTTTAAGTTCAAGCTCCCAAGCACAGTTTCTGATTCCTATTATATTTTTAAGATTAATGATTCAGTGGGAGAACGACTTAGAGATTTGCAATTAAAAAACAGTAACATCTTAGTTGCAATTTTTACTCGAAGAGTTCGTGAGACCACACCGCGGAGTAGTTATTGCGAATCCCATGTCCCGACATGGAAGAGCTACATTTGATTAGATCGTGGATTTAATTTGCCAAGCAAAAAACTTATCTCGGATGTACCGCTGTACCGCAATATGCCAAAAAGATTCATGAAAGCTGTTCAAGATTCATACATGCAAGAGAAAACTGCTAATGACCATATCAATGCCGCAGAGCTTTACAATTTCCTGAGGCTTCTGAAAATTCAGTAACAGTTGAATTCCTGAGACATTCCATTTTTTCTATGTCATTGATAGGAATAGAAGAGTCTTGAACGGACAAGGACCATAATTCCAGGAGAAATATCATCTGCAGGTCGTGCCATGCCTTTGTTCAATGTAGCAAAATGACAAAGAAAGAGGCAAGAGGAAGATAACAATGCTAATAATTTTGGCATGTTATATCCGTATGTATTTTTGCCATGTTCCAAGGACAGAAGCAAATCCCATCATTTTAGATCAGCAGAAAGAATCATTACAAGATCTGCTTTTGGATGCTTTCTTGGGGTTTTAGGTTAAGGATGTTGATGATGTGGACTACATGACATGTATAGGCAGAAGATTTAATTCCTTCAAGGGACACATGATGCTTTTAGCTTTCTTTATGTAGTCATGTTGTTGTATAGATTCTGCACATAATAAATTATATTCTACATACATCGAGCACAGACACCTATACATAAATAATGCTTGACCTGCGTGATTAGGTAAAGAGGGAGCCTCCATTTATCTTTACCATTTTGGGCAAGCAATTTTTCTTGTAGGTTTGCTAGAAACTTCAAAGCAGCTACTTCTTTTTTTTCTTATCAAAATTGGAATAAAAAGATCTATACTCTTCATGGGGGAGTGCCTCCAACTGACTTTTAAGTCCGTACCATCTGTTTTTTATAAAGTTGATTGCATATTCACATCCGACAATTCAAGAAGATATAGCTCAAATGTAGGCGCTTGCACTGTGGTGGAGCTGCAGTGGCAGGTTCATTGTATGACAATAGTTGATTATAGCTCGAATCTAAGATCCTGTATTTGGATGTGGAACTTCTTCAATAATATTCGAAAAGGTTGGCTACTGAGAGATGATTAGTCTTCACACTTTTCAATAACAAAAAGGTATGAAAATGCAATTACCAAAGGGTGTACTTGTCATTTTACATGTTGCTCCCCAGCACTTTAGGACTTCTATAAGAGGAGATAAAGGGGTAGCATGATTCTATGTCGAGCCAAAACCCACAAAGCAAAAGAGAATTGCATCATTCACTTCCACAAACACAGCTTGCCTTTTGAGCTTTGCACCCAATAACGAAACATTCAAGCAAAAGATGGATCAAAATGACATCGTGATGAAAGTCCAGCATGTTCACAAGAACAACCACTTCCTCAAAAGAGTTGTGACATTTGTCATCTCAATCTCTCTACTGTCTTTCGTTGTGTGTTATTCCTCAGGATACACTCTCTTCCCTCACTCCTTCAACATCTGCTTCTCCACGATGCTCTTTTCAAATTTCACTCGCCCCCTCGAGAGAAAGTTCATGTTCCTTGTTTGCAATGGGATCTTAGTTTTTCTTGCCAGGAGCTCCTCCAGTTTTAGCAGCTCTTCACCATCTGTGTCTGATCTTGATGGTGATGATGAATTGTTCAAGAAACAAGACAGGTCGGCTTTTGATGAGTCACCTGAGGATGCGATCAAAGTTTCAGCTTCTGAATCATCTGAAGTTGAAGCTGTGACTGCTGTGAATGCTGCTACTATTGGGGATAAAAAATACCAGGAAAACAATCTGTTTCTTGCAGCTGAAGAAGAAGAGGAGGAGAAACTTCAAGCTCAAGGAAAAGATAAAGAGGAAGAAGATGAAGCAGAGCAACAAGACGAGCAAATGTTACAACAAACTGAATTTGCTAATACAGGAGTAGAAGAAGCAGAAGGAAATGAAATTTGCGTCATGGAAGACGATGACAGACTCAGCAAAAAAGAAGAAGAAGAACCAGAAGAATGTGGCTACTTGTGGAAAGAAACAGAACCACTAGCAGCTGCTACAGGGAGTGAAGAGATGATGAGTACAGAGGAGTTGAACAAAAAGTTTGAGGAATTCATTAGGAAGATGAAAGAGGAGATCAGGATTGAAGCAAAAAGTCAGCTGATTGCAGTGTGATTGCGAGACAATCATGTACATAATAAGCGAACTAAGCAAATTCCATCAAGGGATTGCCTCTTTTAGGTCGATGACAACCAAACTCTCATGTTATGACTCCTTTTCTTTTGTGAGGTTTGAGGTCATCATGTTGTCTCTTTTAGCACTGTTAGTCCTGTCCTGGATCAAATAGCAGTTAAGTTTCATAAACAAAATGTCTAGCCTTTGTTATTTTATCTCCCTCAAGTTATATCTCTGTGCCTAGCTCCTAATGTTCAATAGGAGTCGGTATCTGGAAGAATAAATTTCTATGCATCTTCATCTTCTTTTTACAGTTCTTCAGCAAGAGGAAATTCCAAGGAAAAGGAAAGACGATCATGTCGGAATCTATAAAAGGAAAGTATGTGTTTTCGACATCACTTGTATCCAAAACTTTCAAATATCACGGTCTAATAAGCCCCCAAAAAAAGAGTATCAATCCCGTAATCTTGGAGGTAATTCTGTAATTAATCGTCGTTTTGCACTCTCGTTATCTCTTCGCGTGAGACTAGGGTTTCCCGGTGTGGTTGGGACGAACGTGGAAATAGCTGGCTCTTCGGTTGACTTGGGGCTGGAGTGATGTAGAAACTAGAGAGAGAGAAGGGAAAGAAACTCCCCTTGTTGTCGGACAAAGTAATTATTACTCTGACAGAACTTTAGTGTCATTGTCTTTGTAATGAAAGCTCGAACTCACATGAGTGATGCGAACGTGTGATGCAATACCTCAGTCCGCTGCAGAAAATCAAACTTCCGGTTCCTTCAGCATCAGAAACAATGGAAGCACTAAACGATTAAACAGAAAGAGAAGATGACATTAAGGAACGAGATTATCATGGCTGTTTTTTTTTTTGTCTGAATCATGGTCTGAATCGCGACTGTTTGGTGACAGAAAGAATAACCAAAAACGCCAGCGCCATTACAGCTCTCTACTAGAAGTTGAATACAAATTTACCCGGCATATATTCTTGTCTCGTTGGATATTCATATAAGTCATCTAGGATTGTGTATTAGACACCTACCTATATTTTTCCATATCACTTGTTGTATTCCTCGAATTCCTCTAAATAATCACTCACACAAGGATTCGACTCTTCAAACATCTCATCTTAAGCGTGAGAATGGGACGGTTTGCACATCTCTAACAGGTTTAATTGCTGTGCGGTAATGCACGGCTCCAGACTGCTCTTGGTCAGCCATAAGAAAGGTAGTCAGTGCTCGAGTAATCTTAACTGATCTTTGTTCTATGATTAGTTATGTGATTCACATCATTGAAAATTTTAGACAAGAGTTGCTTATTTTTTTTAAAAGTTAGTGCATCATGAAAGCCAATACTAAAGTTGAGCCTATATGTCATTTGCATTGTAATATTCCAAAGTTCACCCTGTCATTGATTAATGTATGATTTGCTTTTTAGGCCGTCGAGCTAAAGATAGGTTATTAAGATAGGTTATTTACCCTGCCAACTTTGCACGACTCTTCAATGAATCATTTTTTTTTTCATCATATGTACTTGAAAATGTTCTTAGAGGCACACCAGAAGATGTGTGTGGTGGGGGAAAGGCGATTGAGACACAATATCTCATACCCTTTCTTTATTAACAACACACCTTATTATTGTGCAAGACCCACCAAAGATATGTACTGATCGTTCCCAGTAACGAGACAAAGTTCACGATGAAATTCACTAGCTAAGAGATGCAAACGTCACTCTGAAATCCGAGCTTCAACCTCAATTATAACGTGCTTTTTAGACAAAGACAAGAGGGCCTCGATAAGACTAAGCAGAACACACCAAAACCGACTCTTGGGCCATTTTTTTAACGGCCACAATCAGACTAGGCAGAGCACATTGAAACCGACTCTTAGACAATCTTTCCAAGTGGTAGAAATTTCCTTGCTTTTGCCACCCCCCTCATGTGCTCTCCAGTGGAGGAGCTCCAAGTGTCGGTACTTTGAAATGATGCGATCGAATTATTGGGTGCATCAATCAATTCAAGTAAGATGTAAGCGGAGAAATCAGCATACTATCAGTTGAGACCCTCTTGGTTTCATCATCAATTTCTTGTGGGTCTACATGATCTTGTCATGGAATGTCAAGCTAAATATTGGACACACTCTAAGAACCCAATAATGTACGGGGGCTGTTGAAACTTGAAAGCAATCATCGTGTCTAAGAATGCATGCACATTAAAAACCCTCTAGCGTGGAAGATGAGTTCGTGCTCCTAAAGGACATAAAAATCTTGAAGTAAAATCGACACCGTGTTATAACCCAGATACTGAATAGGGTCGTGTCCTCTATTCTATATGTGATTGCCTTGATAAATCAAGATAATGTAAGGATGATTTTTATTGATTCCATGTCACGGGAGATCAGACCGGATTGATGTTTGATATACTCTTGAATTCTTGCATCAGTACTCAATTGAACCGAAAAGCTCAGTACATTTTTTCTAAAACACAAATATTCATGGCAATACTTTCCCCCAAAGAAAGACTATATTCATGAGCATCAGTAGCAAATTGAAATAAGGAAAAAAGTTTAGGGCCATTCTACAGCACAATGAAACAAGGCAAGCCCCCAAAGTGCAAAGATCTTAATGTGACTATGAAAGGACATGTAAGCTCGGAACTCATGGTGAGGGAGACATTCCTCTCTCCTAGTACTGTGTTGTGAAAACCGACCATTTCTTGAGCTTCGTACACTTATGTGGTCTAAAAAATTCTACTCATCATTTTCAAAATCTGCACAACTTTACCATATCTACAAAATATCTGATAAAATGGGGTGTGCTTGGCTTTAGACATGGGGTCCATCATGAGAGAGAGAGAGAGAGAGAGAGAGAGAGAGAAGGTTCAGATTGAACTGGAATCATGTCAAAATAACAGGGGCATATGACATGATAAAAAACAGAGTGGTCTAGAAACATCCCACAAGCGAAGGAGAACTGATAAAATGCCAAGTGTTTTGGCTCTGTCTTGGAGTGTAGACGATTCGGCAGTCACAGTCATTTGTCAAACAATACTTAATCCGTACTACACATAAAAATACCATCTGTACCTATCCGTATGTGCATGTGAATGTGGGGTCCTAGAAATCCAATGACCACAACAGCATTTCTTTCGAGAAACATGCTACATACACTCAAAAACCCGTCTTCTAATCGTAAACTTTTAAGGAAAATGGTCTCCCACTATGGTATCGGAATATAAGTTTTTTCTTTTTCGTTCGGCCGAAGCATCGTAGCATAGGTGACAAGTTTGTTATTCCGCACATTTTCCTGTTCATGTTCTCGGCCAAATGGCCCAATGCCCTTGTTCCTTACTTTGTAAGGTAAAGCTTGAAATGGGAAACTGTTAACATAGTATGCACTGTGGTTCAATAACTTTGACAGTCTACACTTTTACAAATAGTAGTGGCCCAACAACTTATTGAACAGAACCAGGAGACTTTTACAAATGGGATCATCAGCAATCGGTCTCTCTACAGAAGACTTGAACCTGAATCAACAATAATACGTGTAGAAAATTCTAAAATAAGCCACTGCGCCAAAAATTTTACTCAGCTGGAGAAATGACAGAGGGCATGATAAGAAGTTTTAAGATCACGATTTGATGTAAGGCCTATCTAGATAGATGTTTATCTCTTGCTTTTTGCTTCATCTAACTTTCATGACAGATGCACATTGAAATTTTGACAACATATAAATGTTTACACAAAAACTCACATATAATTTTTCATAAATTTTTTTAATTTGGATAATATTTTAAATTTTGACAAAAAATTGATTTTACTTATTCCTAAACAAACAAGTCCTTATATTCCTTGTATTTGGGATTTTAACTTTTAGATTATTATCTTAGAGACTCGAGTAATTTTATTTCAGTTATTCGTTAATTGATTAGATTCAAGATAACATTTAATGAGATTTTCTTTACTTATATTGAATAGTTTCCGGTTAAATTTGATTTAGGATTTCTTTAGGTTTGTCGAGCTCTTTATATTGGTCCCCTCTTTTATTGTAAATAGTTTATATCTTTGAATTAATAAACTATCAAGATTTTATCTCTAGTGCGCTTTGTGTGTCTTTCAGGTGTACCTTAGCGAGTTTACTCATGTCTACTGTTTAAGCTGCATCAAGGAAAAGACAGAAGTCTCCCAGCCTTAACAATGAAGAACAGAAGCTAATGCAAGTTAAACATTCACACTTCTATTTACCTGAAAAAAAGGAGAGAGATATTATACCATCCATTTGAAACAATCCATTAACACGAGATGTCACGAAGATATGTCATGTCTTCCTAGCATGAGATACCATTGACTGCCAAGCCAAAAGATATGCAAATTGCTTTGCGCTTTCAAGAAGATTCACAAAAGAAATGGAATAACAGAAACGAACTAAGCTTTCTCATCAAGACATTCGTCTTTGTTGGTGAAATGCAGCTAATCTACTTCAGTTATTTTTTGCCTACAAATCGTACAAAGAGTACCTCGTGCCAATGTCCTCATCCTTGGTTCTTTATCTTCAGCTTCAGGAGTGATTCACTTGGAGCCACCGATGGGCGATGGCAGAGTAATGATGTCTATATCAAGTCCCTGCATGTACGGTCCACTCCCTCTCGTGCTCGACCGCGGAAACAGAGTAAAAGATCTTCACTTCTCTTCACATTTCTGACCATTTTCAATCATCTTCTCAGTTCTTCATGTGAAAAATGCAAGAAGCTCAGGCACGTGTAAGTAACACAAGCACCATCAGAAAGATCATCCAGTTGGAGAAAGTGTCAAATCCACTGCGATGCCATCGGTCTCTGGCATGCTCCTAACTTCTTCAAGGATCCTCCTGACTTCTTTCATTAATTCCCTGTGGACATAATTGGTACGCCCCCTTGTAAGCGACGATTCTGTGAACAGCGACTCACTGAGGGACTGATATTCTCGAAACCATTCATTGTCAGTATCTTGAGGAGCAGGTTCATCATAACATGTTATAGAGCTTTCTCGGCGCCATCTAGTAATGAAGTATTTATCGGGAAGTTGAAAGTAATTCTTTCTAATAAAAACAGAAAGGGCATGTCTGCATAAAATCCCTGAAGATTCAAATTCCTTACATGAGCAGTGAATATGCTCTTCTTCTGGCATCCACATGACAAGACAGTCGCCATCCATCTTCTTATAATGGCGTAAAAGGTAGGAACCATCAGCCAATTCAGACATTGCATATTGCATGGCCAGCACGAGTTCATTTTGCGAAGCATTGAATGCAAAAGGTGTTAGAATGCTTCGAGCATGCTCTTCCATTGGAATGCACGCTTTGGAAGGCATATACTGCATTTCATGGTGTGACTGGTTTTGAAAAGTAGCCGATATTCCTACCTGAAAAAAGCCCAAAAACTCAACATTAAGAAGGGGGAAGAAAAGGCAATCAAATGGAATATAAGGTCTCGGAGAGGACAAAACCTTCAAGTGCTATACCTGGTCAAAAAAACTACGCAAGCATGCATTTGGGCTGAAGATTCCTTTCAGGAATGAGTCTACAGATCTAAAAAATGCAACACTTGTCATTCGAGCAAGAAAGTGACCCCTTGTATAGCACAAAGCCCAAGAAGTCCGAATTGAATGAAGTAAAGCAATGTGTTTATCTGAACCCAGTCCAAACTGAGAAACCATTTCATTCCATCGTAACTCAAAGTCCTCTGTATTCTCTACACAATGCAATGCATCAAACTCAGATCTGAAGTCTGCATATTGAGATCCAAGTGGAACAGAGAACCAACTTGATACCTTGGGCAAAATATTCCATATGCAAGTAACGTGTTTTGTGTTTGGTAATTCGCCCCTCACTGCATCTCTGAGGCCTGGGTCCAGATCAGTTAAGATTGTCTGAGGACTTCTTCCTCTCATAAACCGAACAAAACTCTGTATCCAGGGAGAGAAACATCATCTATGAGGAAATGCAGAGTACATGATATGGATCTATCTAGAGGGACAGAGAGATAAACCTGTAAAGCCCAGGCAAATGATCGTGGTGCCTCGTCCTGCAACAGAACACATCCGAAAATGATCATTCTGCCATTGCTGTCAATGCCAAACCATGCCCCAAACAACATACCGTAAGTGATTGATCGGTATGACGTGTCAAAATGCACCACATCACCGAACATGGTATACGCACTAACTGATTCTCCGTATGACCAAGCGATGTGCTCAAGTTTGTCATTTTCATCCACGCTATAATCATAACTAAAGCCTTCATCTGCCTCCTTCGAGGCCTTGCAGGCCTCAAGAAGTTCCATTATATCGTTTTCTCTCTTCTCATTGAGCAAAGCATCATTTTCTTGAACAACTTTCTTCCTGTTCTGAACAAAGTTCCTAACATCCCTCTCCAAGAATGGCAGTTGTCCACCTTGAATCCCCTTTTCTAATTCCAAGACCTTCACTATGCGATGAATCGGAAACCCAGCTTTCGATAGCAAAAGTATCCGCTCTTGATCAGCTTCATGAATCTTTCTGTAAGCAGGCAAGAGACGAACCTGGTCGTCTTCCAGCAGCTCATGATTGTGAACATTACTGAATTGCACAACAAACCACTGCGAAACGCCGTCCACAACCTCCTTCGACAAGTACATCTTCGCATCGCAGCCGCACCGGACGGATTTCCGATCCCTATGGTGCTCCCCACTAGGTTTCTTCCTGACAGGCGCGAACCCGGACCGATAACAAACAAAGTCGCGCTTGTAAATACCCAACTGAGGGCTCAATCTCGAGCGCTCTTTCCTAACGGAGAAACCATTCTTCCTCGCGAAGTTGCCGTAATACTCGAATGCGTCATCGTCGCTCTTGAACACCATCCCCACATACGGGACCACCATAGCCTCGGCCGCCGCCGCTTTCGCTTTCGCCAACTGCAAGGCAACCGCGGCCTCTTCATTATCGCCTTCGCACGTAACAAAGCATTTCCAATCCCCACACGGGCATTGCTGCCGCTGTATCCATATGTTCTTTGACGACAACGATGTCATAACACAAAACGATCGAATGCTAGCACTACACAGCTCTCAAACACAGAAATATCAATACCCAGGTGATCCAAGAAGCAGCAAAAATCAATCCTAGATGTCCAAGTTGAAAGCTACAAGCAGCAGTATGATGGTGTAACCTTGTCAAGATTAGTTCTTTATCTCCCCCCCTTTCCCTTAGAACAGCAGACTAACCTGTAGCACAGCCATTAAGAGAAAAAAACAAGGAGGACTTCGAGCTATGCTGAAAATGGCTGCCTTCTTTTGAGCAGTGAAATTTGATATCTGCACCTACGCGACATGCTAAGGGACTATAAAAACAAGAGAATCAGAGGCAGAAGCAAAACCCTAGCTGCTCTGCCTGCTTGCTTGCTTGCTTCTTCAACAGTCTCATTCTCTCTTTTCTCTTCCTTCGTCCTCCAGACTGACTCCAACTTGATCATAAAATTTTCTTTCGCTTTCCAGGAAAAGAGAAAGGGAAACGCAAACCCGTGAAGTTCTCAGATGGGCCCTTTTCAGTTTTCAGCCAACAAAGGCCGAATGAGACAGTGTTTGGGGGACTCGCGCTTGGGCCCGAATTGCCATTTTCGGATTCGCAGTCCAAAAGGCAGTTCCTTTTTTTTTATCATTATGTAATTGAATTTTCAATTCCACATCAGGGGATTCATCTCCTCCATGATGGTGCCTGAAAGGACGCTTATCTTCACGGAATTTCACGTGTGCATATTAATGCGGGGAACACAGTTCGGCTCGATAATGGGTGCGTGGAAACAACGGGGCGTAACTCTTCAGCTTCCTCTTTCGGAAAAGTTCGGATCTTGCAGTCCTTTTTCCCCATTTCTCAAGGAGGGCAATGCAATCTTTTGGGAAGCCATTTTCTCTTTTGTGAACTCGCTTCCTCAGGTAAATCGGACAAAAGCCCGCCGTTTCATTTTCAGCTCCAAGACGTAGACATGCACGTATGCCTTTGCCGTGAATCTCCCGTGTTTCTTATTCGTGCGTCTCTTCTGGGTGTCCTCATGATCATCTGACCTTTCTGGGATGTGTCGCAGATTAAGTAGTGTTTAAAAGATCGTGAATTCTTGTATGTGTCTAAGAGATCCATTCATGTCCTCCTAAGTTTGCCATTCTGTTCGAAGGGATGAATTCTTGTTTAGTCCAAGCCTTCTTGGCATTATTTGCTCATCCATTTACATGCTTGGCTGCGTTTCATCTGCAATATGGTCAACGTTGATTGAAATTGTCCTTGGTCTTGGTAAAAAAAGGCAATGTCTAAAGGGAAACAGAGTCTCTCTATTCTCACAATTTATAAGCCTGATATCTGTTTCATGAAATCAAAGAGAATCGCCAGTTTAAGGTTATTTGGGAGTGAAAGCTGCGAAATTTTCACCTTCACTCTGCATCACATAGAGGGACCAGACATTAGATTGCGTGGTACGGGGAACTTGAGCTCATGGCGAAGTTTGAACACACCCATTACTGGACGGTAAACAAGACCGACAGAAAATTCACGGAATGTCCCTTGACCGATTGCTGAATGCTCCAAAAATGCAGGCTGCTTGAGAAGGACGAATCTGCAGCATTTGATATGGCCTATGATAATACCAGAGAATCCTTGATTGGGAATCCAGCTGATGCTTCGAATCATCCCAAGGACAAGAGTAATGCAGTCCAAAGAAGAAGACACCGCCACAATTCTCCTTCAGTGGATAGTTTCCCCGAGCAGAATGGCACTGAACCTCATCTTCTCGAGTCTACTAAAGAACCCACATTTAGAAAAATCGTCATAGTTGTGGCTGCATACCTTGGTGTAGGAAGCTTTAGTTTCTTTCTCCTAAGGAACCAAATCTCGGGCAAGAAGACGAATGGTCTACTCGATGCCCTTTACTTTTGTGTTGTCACCATGACTACTGTGGGATATGGAGATCTTGTCCCAAGTAGCTCATTGGCGAAACTTCTTGCCTCGACATATGTTTTTGCAGGAATGGCTCTTGGTGGGCTGATCCTAAGCAAAGCGGCCGATTACGTTCTCGAAAAGCAGGAAATGCTTTTAGTAAGAGCTATGCACATGAATGAAAAGGTTGGTCCAGCCGAAATCCTGAAGGAGGTCGAAGTCCACAAAATCAGATATAAATGTCTCACTTCCCTCATTCTTCTTGGGGTCCTAACTGTACTTGGAACCGTGTTTCTGTTGGTTGTCGAGAAATTTACATTTGTCGATGCTTTCTATTGTGTTTGCGCTACCATTACTACTCTGGGCTATGGAGATGAAAGTTTCTCGACCACCAGCGGCAGAATCTTTGCCGTGTTTTGGATACTGGCGAGTACCATATGTGTGGCTCAGTTTTTCTTCTACCTCACTGAAATGTACACAGAAAGCAGGCAAAGATCATTGGTAAAATGGGTTCTCACACGAAACGTTACGTGCTCGGATTTAGAGGCAGCAGATCTTGATCAGGACAAAGTTGTCAGGTGAATTTTAATAATCTACTACAAATTCAATGATGCAGATAACTGATTTGAGCAAATGTTTGGGTTTCTTGCTGGTGCTTTCTTTTTGCAGCGCTGCGGAGTTTGTTGTATACAAGCTACAGGAAATGGGAAAGATCAGCCAGGAAGATGTTACGGCGATCTTAGAGAGGTTCCAGAATCTTGACGTTGATCAGTCTGGAACTTTGACAACATCTGATATAGTCCAGTCCCGAAATTAGGGGGTTTTGCTGCTTGTTTCCGAGGATTATACTTACATACTTTAGTCTTGTATCACTCATACGCCCCGCCATTACTTGGTGATGATGCTGAAGTTTTCTCTGTTAGCTTCAACCATAAGTGAATGTCTCCCCTATCTATAAAATCACTGGCAAAAAGTAAATCCAAAAGGTGGAATTCATGTATCCCTGCCTGAATCTCAGCATCTAGCAGCAGATGCTAGATACCACGAGTCAGATGGTCTGCGACATCAGCTTCACAAAATTTATTGAATTTCATCGTCGATCTGTTGCAGTCTCACTTTTACATGACAGAAGTTGCTACCGTGGTGCGTGCAACAAAGTCTGCAGTTTGCCAACTGAAACGTTTTGTTCATGATGACTTTTAAGTTCCTAAATCTATCTGAACAGCACGATCATAGTCATCATGCAAACGGACTTAATTTGAATCGGCTGTCCTCATTGATTAAAACTTCAACAATTGGTGACTGGGTAATTTAATCTGTGTTTAAAATACCAAACCACCTATTCAGCCTCAAACAGGATCATAAAATCATTGACCTTCCCACCAAACCTTATTGTTCCTTCTGTCTCATACGAACAAATACAAGCATCCACCAAATTTGACAGATCCTCCAACTAAGCACAACTGATATAAAATAAAACCTTTAGCAAGTGAACGTGTACATGCGACGCCAACCTATTCATGATCCAATCACATGACAGTGCACGACTCAGGGTTCTCTTCACTGAAGTAGTCGGAGCGGTTTGTGTTATAGCCCCTATTCACACCATAACCGCCCTCACTGTCGTAAGCCGGCACCCCGTGATAGTATGGCACGGCGCCGTATCCTTGGTAATACGGCTGAGGCGGCTGGTAGTACATTCCACTCGGATAAATCATGGGATATCCTGAAACGGGGTCGACAATATGCTTGTGAACTTGCGCTTCCTTCTTTTCGCCTTCTTTAGGCTTGTCTCCTCCTCCTCCTCCCTCTTTCTTTTTCTCGCCTTCTTTCGGTTTTTCTGCAGCTGGTGCATCCTTCTTCTTTTCGCCCTCTTTTGGTTTATCCCCTCCCTTCTTCTTCTCTTCCTCCTTAGGCTTCTCGCCTTCTTTCTTCTTTTCGGGCTCCTTCTTCTTCTCGGGGACTATCTCGATGCTCTCCACTGTTTCTCCACCTTTGCGGGCTATTTTGTCACGGATTCTCTCAGGGCAACAGCTTACCACGGTGATTCGCACCTTGTTCTGCTTCTCGTCGAATTCTTGGTTTTGGATTTCTCTTGTTCCCAAATCGATAACACCGATAAATGAACTTAGTTTCCTTTCTACAGCTAAATTTTGGTACTAAAGTTTACATAACATAATACTACTCGGAGAGTCTAATTCACCAAGGTCCTCATCCTAAATTCATAATTAGAATAGGAACAATGTGTGGAAGACTTTCAATTTCGGAAGAAACAGAATTATCGTTCACGAAATACGACAGTCTGGGATTAGAAATCCAGACATACAGTCGTTAGTTCATTATGACTTTACAAAACATTTAGCATGAAAGCTCTATTTATTGCTGAGTGTGATTCGCCCACTGAAGTCATATGGAGTCGATGGTGGTAATGAACAAAGAAAAAACAGGACAACCATCAACACAGGCAAAGTGAGACTCACCAGGGAATTTGCAGATCACTTTCTTGATCTTCTTGTAGCAGCGATAGCACTTCAGGTCAACCGTTATGACCATTGTTACTTTCTACAGTCCACAGTCACACACACATACGCACAAACACAGAGAAGGTGAGTGAACAATACAGGCAAAGATCTTTTGTACTTTGCAAACAAAAATGAAGCTAAAAGAAGAAGAGAGAAGAAGCATGGCTCTTTCTGACATCAGAAGATTGAGAAAAAATCCTACCTTTTTTATGCAAGAACGTAAAAATGGTCATCATATATGAGTCGTAATGATCTTTCTATCAGTTACAAATACAGGGTCTTGATAAATTGAAAGGATGAGGAAGATGAGATGCACCTTTTCAGCCATAGCTCTCCTCTCCGGTGAGTTTCAGCGAGATCTGATTTCTCAAGCTTGAGGAGGAATACGACTGACTGTGAAACTCTGTCTCTCTCTCTTTGAGGAGTGAGAGCTCAAGGGAGATAGAGAGATGATAGTAAAGTGAACGGGCAAATATCAAAGAGGGTCACATTCATATAAACGAGGACAAGAAATCCTTGCATCGTGTGAACATGTAAGCCTCCGGGGCGGCCGCGAATGGGAGGGCCACATGTGTCGCCTCGTGGGGATATTCACGTTGTCATTTGATGACTGTCGAGACATTGTTGCTGGTATTCAGCGCCTTCCCCGAATGCACTCATTCGGGGCCATTGAAATTTGGATCCTTCCCTCCCATCGAACCCGACGGCCGAGATCATCAGATGGACGCGCCCGGCGTCCATCGGACGGGTGTGATGATGATCTTGTTGGGTGGTGGGGGTGGGGTCCGATGTTTGCTGACTCTTTTACAAAATCTTTCTTGATCTGCATGTTCTGGTCCTCGATGGAAACTTCCCACCATCCAACTCACTCTCTGGTGATCTCACAAAACCAGAAAAACAAATAGAGAAAAAAAACAGGTGATGTCGAGTCTACGGCACGTCGTTTGCTTTGGCTGCAATAATTGACTGGGGGAGGAGTCCTTCTTCGATTTGGCTTCACATGCCAGTCACCTTTCGGTTCACAGGAACATATGGAAAACGAATATTGCTACAAATTAAGTGTCATATTTTCCGGGTCGAATTACTAATTACGAATGTCGATATCCTTCACATGCAAACAAAATTGAAAATCAAAATGTGGGTGGCTTTCGTATCTTGTGATCCATCAGTCGGAACAATAATTGAATAAAGCTTTCTCCGGCTCTAGGGATAATCGATATGCAAAAGGGCATGTACGAAATGTTATTAGACTTTAGTTTCGTTAGGTGTTTCGATAAGTACGACTAGCTTAGATCATACCACATTGTTCTATTAAGGTTGTCTTGTTGCATCGAACTCAAAATTAGTCTTTGCAGCTTCATGTATCTAATGTGGTGCACCCGATAAATTCAAAAGTTAAGACATGTAAGTCTTGCAGTTTCCGTACAATGCTAATTGTGCTTCAAAGTTCCGTGTCGTGACTTTTGTTTCGAGACGGATTCCGAGCGATGAGGACGCGTAAATTAGGTTTCAGAGACCAAATTCGTAATCCCGAGAGAAAATTCAAATGGTAAAAGCATGTTCTTCTAAACCAACAAAATGCACGGGTTCAAATCACCGCATGATCGGATGGGCACGAGTTTCCCCTAATTACTCTTTGTGTGTGTGTGAGATGAGGAAAGCCTGCCATACCCAATTGGGGGCTAGTCGGCAGTGATCCAAAACTATACAGGAGATCGGATCCAATTGCTGACCAGAATGCAATCAGATGGTGTTGAACTGATCGAAAAGATCTCACCGGAAACCGCCGGTCTCGACAGTCAATTATCGACCGGTGCCGAGAGCAAAAACCTCTCTTGGTCCCAGTATGATTTGGCGGGGCTCCGATCCATTGACCGGTCACGCTGCAAAAAGTTTGACTCTTTTTGTTTTCTCAAGGAATGCAAAGCACATACACAACGTGCAAAGCATTTTCTTATTGTGGGTGCTGACAAGGGACAACGAGTGCATGAGTATGATGATATGCTTTTGGATCGTGGCTTCTTAGCTGGCTCCGCGTCTCAAAAGAGCTCTCTCCTTTTGACCAAACAAGCAATGTATGGAATCTGAAGCCATCATTAGCCCATTGATTAACAAATTGGAATTGAGCTACTCACGCTTGAGAAAATTATAGGGCATGCGAGATTTCATGCCTTGGCTTGGAAAATTGAACTCGTCTCGCTCTCGACTTTCGACTTTCGATATATCCGAGATTGTCCGGGAGAAAATCGAATCGGAGAATTTGTTTGTTTTTTAAGATAATTCGATTGAAATTGTGCTTTCGAGAGAACTTATGGTCCCAAGCAACAAAAGAGTCGACTGTAAATGAAGGTGGTCGATTCTTGTACGGCCAATTTGGTTAAGAGTTTAGTGCAATTAATAAGGAGGCAGACGGTTGATGGTCATGGACATTAAAGACTGCAATCTAAACGTACCCAAGCGTGGAAATTTATGAAGTGGGTTTGGTTGAAAATTGGTTGAAGGTCAAGAAAAGGTTAAAAGAGATCGCCTGCCCGCATTCAATAAATTCATAGTACTTTAATGTTGGTGTCCAGTACAACAATCCACATTAGTACTTCTCTTTCTTTCTTTTCTTTCTTTTATTTTATTATTTGATAAGAAGATCGTGACAATAAGTTCAGAAAAATGACCGACAAAGACGAGAGCAACTACACGTAAAAATATACTTTATTATATGCATATACTTGATGGTAACTTGAATAGAAAGTTAAGGCCGTGAAATTAGATATGCAGCAAATCCATAGGTCATTTTGTATTTGACGAATCATGCGTGGCATTTAAATTTTTGGTGGAGTAATTTGATAGCAGTAGAAGTGGTCACGCATGAAACATAGACAAGACGAGACTTCTTGAGCCTCTCTTAATTTTACATCTTCTTTTTTCTAAATTTTTTGACTCCATCTCTCCCTTGGATTATTGTGTGCGATAATGCCTGATAAGGCATACGATTGTTCTCCGTACACTGTTAAACAACCTTTGCTTTATGTAAGTGGTTTTGCTATTCTTCTTTGCGTTTTGTCATTCTTTTGAGAAGTTAATGGAATCTGATGTGGAAAGATTGCATTGTTTTATTTTTTCCGAACATGGAATTGCCAAAGCACAAGTTCATTCAGAAAAACTTACTTTTGTCGGTAGATTGCTGTTAATTAACTTTGTACTCCATAGTATGATCAATTATTGGTGTACTTTAAGAAAGTAATGGAAAAGCTCGAAAGCGTCTGTAGATCTATTCTCCGTGCAGGAAGGCAAAAGTAAATGGGAGGATGTTTGTCTTCCTAAGAAAGGAGGGCTTGGGTTGAGGCGGCTGCATCAGTGGAATGAAACTCCTATCATAAATGGATTTTGCTCTCCTCTTTACTGATGAAGATATTCGATGCCATCTTTTTTATAGTTCTGTTGATTTCTTTGTTGAAGATAGAAGTTACGTGGTGTCGGGGTAAACTTTTGTGCATCTCGACTGGTTCTCCTTTATAGGCGATTTTATAGGTGCGCTTCCCACACTGACATGGTGCATCCGGGATTTTACTCCTAGAGTGCCTCAATAAGCCTTGAATCCAAGACCACAAGAAGAGGAGCAAACTTCATCATCTAAGCCTGCACCTTGATTTTTTTAGTTATGTTCAGTTTACTTAGAGTGAAATTGAAATAGCAGATAGCTTGAATATGAAGCTTTTTAGATTGGATATCTTGAGGAACTCAAGTCATTTACAAAGTATTTGCTATGAACAAACTTTTAAGGAACTCAAATTCATTTTTCTTTTAGATTTTGAACTTCACTTTGCGCACAAAGTCTGGCGAATCAAAATATGTATTTTTTCGCGATACGAGTTTTTCATTCAGGTTTTTCTCTTTTTGGACAAGACATTACTTGTTCCCTGTTTCCCATCAAATAGTTTCTTTGGTCAAATTTTTGTTGTATTTCTGATGATAATTTTACAGATGCCACAATGTTGAATTATAAGCGTGTTTTTTTATATGTTTTTTTTTTCATTAAAGAGATTAAAATTATGTGAAGATGCTCACCTTTCTTATTTCTTTGGTTACAGTTTAGAGAGCTTTTCATAAGTTTATTGTCAAAGTGTGTTGATTTGTCATGCGGATCATAAATTTGTTAGTGCCAGTTACCTTACAAATAAGCCTATAACAGGGATTGTGTACACTATTTACTATAGATTCTAATACGAATTGGTAACCTCATATATTAGGTAAGATATGAATCGAAACCTTGGTGTGTGATCTAAATATAGTGTCATTTATCCTTGGTGCAGCGTCGGAAATGAAACTTGTATCATGTCGTGCTCCAAATCAATTCGCATAACTCGTTTATTAACTGCTAAACTAATGTGATGGGTTTATCTGGTTTGCCTTATATAATGATGTGCAAATGCTCCAACACGATGATCTGTCACGGGAAACACTGAGGTTTGGCTCGTTCTTGACTTTTCAACAGAGCATTTTCTTATTGGTGCTAGAGCAGATCAGAGTGCTAACCATGAATTTGGGCTGGGCTATACCTACAACTACAAGTTCCAAATGAGGCCCAAGTCCAACTGCTTGTCAGGTTTTGCATTTTCTGTGCAGGCTGTAATTTTCCATACATTGGACCGTTCCTACAATAAAAAATCAGTGAAAGTCTAGCTAGCTAGCATCTTTATTTTCTTTTGTAAATTGACTTGAAGTGCCACCCCTCGAATTTCCAACTTTAAAGTGTATAAATAAAAAATATATTAAATCTCTACCACTAGATAAAATTTATATGATTTCAATATGAGTGTTATTATTTAGCGATCTAATGATTTAGCAATGATCAAATTTAATTACCGGTTGGAGCTAGAGACGACATGGCAAATGTTTGGCACAATTTGAGATGCAGTCCAGAATTTACATTGTGATTTAGTTTTTAATAATCGAGTTGCATCGAGTTTAATCTTAAGCATGCAAACTATAATGAGTTGAGCTCGAGCACAGGGATTTGAAACCGAATTTTGTCATATTCAATCAAACAATTAATTTCAAGTCAAACTTTGCATCGATAAACTGCTACAAATCAATTAGTAGATTGGTTGAGTCTTTATAGTTTTTCTAATGAAATACCTTATCTTGGAGTCTTTAGTGCATTGATTTGACCCAACTAAAATAATATGCTAGTTCCTTCCCTGCATGCTGACAAGAATGTTGTCTTCAAAACATGTCACAAGCCTCCGAAACATGTACCATATCCAATCAAAGCATGATTCCTGAAAAATAAAGTCACAATCAATCTTGAGAGAAAGTTTCAAAAAGGGTATAACATGATTAAAGTTATGCAGTCAAACAAGCCAGTACTACATATCAACTAATGTCTATCGTGTTTAATCTCTGAGTCAATGTATACTATGTAGAAGGAAATAGATTGAAGTTGTTTTAAATTACTCCAAAGATACTTATGAAAGTCAAATATATAGGTTTTAACTGCATTTGTTGAGATTGAAATACGAGAAAGAATCAATATATATTTTAAAGGAATCAATATCATATAAAAAAATCGTAAATTGTGTGGGATTAGTGTAGTGATTAGGGAACAAATTTGTGTGTGTAGATTATGCACATCACATCAATTCAATTCTCCACATAACGGAATGCAAACAATTTGACAACGAAGCCACATCCACCCAGTCTTTGACTCGTACCCTACTTAATTCATAAGATTAATAAGATATCCTATGGACCAGATGCGTAATCTGCCTTAAATCTAAGCTTCGAAGATAGAGAAATAATATGTTGTTACAAAAAAAAAAAAAAGACCAGGACTATTAAATAAAGTAGATAAAGCCTTCCCTCCTCCTTTTTTCTCCTTTTTTTTTCTAGCGAAGTTATGGAAGCAGGTTAACGAAAACATATGTCTTGTCAGGTTTACGACAACTTTGATATAAAAACTGATTTTGATTGCAATCCAGAAGTTAAAACCAAAACTCAACCTACTCATCAAAAGTTAAAAGAGAATCAGAAATTGACTCTAACTGATTTGAAGTCTTCACGACCAAAAATATAAATACCTGAAAGATCAACTACTTTAATTCCTATTTGAAGCGGCTTTTAATCAAACTGTAAAGAGCAGGGGAGGATGCATGAATACATCATCCACCAATTAGATTTTCATTGTTTTTTTTAGAATTAAAAATCTTAAATGATGATTAAGGAATGGACAATTTTCTCACACTAACCGGTACAAACAATTTGTGTTCGATCCAGCAAACCGACTTTTGGCTCAAATCTTACTTGTTTCACAAGGTTAATGGAATATTAATTTATAGGTCCGACATCCAAGTAAGATATAAACTTCCTCGCAACACTAAAAAAAGAAAAAGCAAAAAGATAACCAATCTAGACAATTCTAAACTAAAAATTTACAACACCAATCAAACACAAGGCTGGATAGAGTCGGTCGATAAATAAAGCAATCAAATGACCAGACCATTCATGAATTACTCATGACACACACTTCAGGTTCTTTCTACACTAACATTTTGCCCAATTTTCTATTCCATCAACTCTAGTTTCACAAAGCCTCATCATATTAGCTATAAAACCATCCAATTGAAAACTCTCTTGGTAAAATCAAGTAGACAAAGCCTTTCCTCCTCCTCTTTCCCTCTTTCTTTGTTGTTTATTGACCTGCAGATTCTACTCTATTTGAAATTGTACCTGCATACATACGTTTTCTGGTCAAGTTCTATGGATCAGAAACCTTGAAACCTGCTCTATTGGTACTTATCAATTCAATTAGTAAATTTTCACGTGATTTATGCTCTAAGAGTGCGTCCTTTACACGCAATGAGCAAATTATCTACGACACGTGAAAGAATCATATGATTCCTTTAGCTTTCTATCTTAACTATGAAAATCACAAAGTAACAATCCTACCTCCATAACAAATATTATAAGTATGAAATCGGGAAAATAAAACTTGCAGGTGTGTCAAAATTTAGATTAATGTTAGAACAAGTTAGATCAATTTGAATGCCTCGTTATCTGTCAATGAGATCTTCATTGGTCCGATAACATTAAGTAAAATGAAATACTGAATCTGTTTTTGCCGTAAATCAATTGTGAATTGTGCGGTAGAAAGAAGGTCCAATGAGACTCACCTTATGGTGCGTGTAAGACTCAAGGGTGCCCCGAAAATCTTTCCTGGAACCGGAGATATCTATGAGGCAATGATTTGGTAATTTGGTGTTTGATACATCAATTAACCTTACCAATGATCCACATCTGCGAACTGATAAGTAATCTAAAAACTCTAGCTCATTGAGGCCGTTGATAACCCGTAGCTGTTTGTTGTCATAGATTCTTAAACTGTGGAGGTTCTTCAAGTTTGACAAACCACCAAGACTTCGCACATAAGGACAATTAGAAAGGAAAAAGGATTCCCATGATTCCGACGTACCAACAAATTTTATCTCGAGTATCTTAGTGCAACCCAACAGCACGAAACTTCGCAACTTATTTAAGAATCTCAATGGAAGGATTAGTCTCCCTTCACAACTAATCAACTCATTAGCACACTCGCTATTATCCTGCCCCGCTTCCCCCACATTAACAAGGCTTTGAAAGGACTCGCAGTGTTGAAGATCCAATCTCTCCAGTAATTCGAACCCAGCAAATTGAATCTCAACTAGCTTTGGACAAACAAATACTTGGACAACATTCAGCTTCCTCATACTTGATAACTTGAATCTCTTGAGGGATTCACAACTAGTTACATGCAACTCCGTTATATTTGGAAGTTGAAGCCCATGGAGTTGAAATTCTTGCATTGGAGACGCATAGAGCCCTAAATATGACAAATTTCTCAAGTTCGGAGCGAGTGACACAATTGAATTGAAATCATCAAGACATAGCTTTCGTAGAGACAAGGGAAGTTGCGGAAAGGTTTGTAGGTCTAATCCAAACAAATCAAGTTTGTTTAGCAGAGGAAGGGAAGCTAGCTCCGGAGGAGCACGGACATTGGGAAGTCCCAAGCTCAATTTAGTCAGTTTGGACAACCTCCCAATCCACCATAATTCACCGGTACAAAGATTATCTCCTCTTGCTCCCCAATCATTTAGCTCCAACTTAACCAAATTAGTCAAATTCGAGAGATCCGGGACTACCCGCAACGATGCACATGACACTTGTAGATGGGTTAAACTTATTGGGAGTGCCGGCAACTCTTGAATCTTAGAACATGCCCGCAACTTCAATCTTTGTAGGCGAGGAAGCATGCTAAGGGTCTGTGGAACTTCACTAATTAGAGTATACGATAGATCTATAATTCTTAGAAAGGGCAGACTTCCAATTCCAGAAGGAAGTTGGCCTTTCAAATTCTCACTAGTGATTCGAAGGACTTCCAGATTTTGAAGCATTCCAATAGAACTAGGTAACTCCCATGAATTTGCTGAATCTAATCCATCAAAGTCACTTGAAAAGTGCACCTCATGTAATGATCTCAACTTCCATAACGAATTTGGGACTTTCTTCACTTTACACCATAATACAGAGAAGCTCTTAAGATTCACTAGCTCCCTGATTTCTTCAGGCAAATCTTCAAGAGAAGAGCACGAATGAATCATCAGATCAATCAGACACTTCAACTTCCCAATAGAGCCATCAATTTTCCTCAAATTGGAACAATCATCGAAAGTAAGTCTCTCTAAATTCGGGCATCCAGAGAAGTCTGGTGTCCTGATTATTTTGTGACAACTTACTAGAGAAAGAACTTTCAATTTCCTCGCCATCTGTCAAAATGAATGCATTATTAAATGGATGAACAGTCATATATTACTTTCAAAGAAAATAGAACAAGAATAAGTATATTACAGACCTTGATCGTGCTTTGCAGTTTCGAATCATCTATGAATTCATTGTCCATTAATTCAAGAATGACCACATTCTTTAAGTGCATGTTGGTTAGCTTAGAGGTTGGAGAAGGACAACTCCAACAAATCCATCTTAAATTGGTAAGATGATTCGCTAAGTTACCAACAAAGGTTCCCCCATTTAATTTGAGGTATCTTAGATGTTCAAACCTTCCAATCTCTTCACTTCTAATAACGACCTCAAGATAACTGCCGCGTAGATCAAGATCCAATGCTTGAACATTTTTCATCTGCATATGAGGGCAAGAAATGAGTGGTCTTTAATAATTTATTTTAGAGGAAAAGGATTAAAATGGGAGAAAAAAGAAAGAAAAAAGAGCATCCTAGTGCTTTACCTCCTTTGTGGTTATAGTATCAAGGATCTCATTGCAATTCCGTAACCTGCTACGCTTTCCGGGATTTATTGGATTTTCTTGACGAACAATTTCTATTCCAAGATCTATGAGTTGATCATGCATCCAAAAATTATTGTCCTCCCCAATCTTTACCAAAGACATGCTGATTAGGACATCAATTCCAGTATTAGGGAAAAACTGACAATCTCTCCACATGTAAATTGCATTGTGCTTATCCCTACCAATAAAAAAGCATGCGATATCGAGAAAAATTTGTTGTTGCTCGAAATTCAAGGCATCATAGCTGATCTTCAACTTTCCAAAAACATCCTCATGAGGTGATTTTCTTAACTTGTCCAATATCTCTTTCCATAGTTCTTGCTTTTTGTGGAAGAGTAACGAACCAATTACTTCTAGAGCCAACGGAAGTCTCCCAGTAGAAGATACGATTTTCCTTGAAAGATTATTGTAATCATTTGGAGGAAAGTCTCTATTAAATGCATGCCTACTGAAAAGCTCAAGGGCACAATCGGTACTCATCATCTCCATTTCATAATCTAAAATTTGACACTTTAAACTATTGATTCGCAAAACATCTTTATTTCTAGTTGTAATCAATATTCTAGATCCGAAATACAAAGTACTCTTTCCAATTAATTTCTCCACTTGTTCGATGTTATCAACATCATCAAGTACAATGAAGAGTTTCTTATTGCACAGTGCTTGTCCAGTCCTCTTCGTTCCATAATCAATTTCGTCAATGCTCCTTGTTCCTGCATGAACGCCGATTTCAGATAATAACTTCTTTTGCAACTCGACTAAGCCATTAGTTCTTGATGACTTCGCTCGAACATCTTCAAGGAAACAACAGCAGCTTCCAAAATGAGAAGAGAGTTGGTTGAAGACAACCTTGGCAAGAGTCGTTTTACCGATACCTCCCATGCCATGAATTTGAATGAGTCGAATGTCGCAAGAATCGACGTCTAACAATTTGCTTACTGCTTCAACTCGTTCATCAATTCCAACTAAATGTTCAGTAACCAATCTATGTTTTGTCTTCAACTTTTCCACAACCTCCTCAACTACCAAGTTGATCAGTTCGCCATGACTGAGACAATGGAAAACCATTTTAGCGGGGGAAAAGCGAAATCGCGATTACCTGGCTAGTAATGATGTTATTCAAGCACCGTATAGACTACACAACAATTGGATAAATACTGTTTGACCTTAACGATCTAGAAGTGATCCTCTAAGAGTCCACATTGGACATTAACATTGCTCCAAAACATACTGTTTTGCGCTTGGCGACACGTGGGCCATCTCATGACCCGAAAATTGACTTAGAGTCCAAATGAGAATAGCAATCTTGGGATTATGTTGATAAATGTTGGTGCAAAATAGATCGTATGAATATTTTGCATTTGAAATTGACACTTTACGGTATATGTTCGAGCGATGATTATAAAAATTGAACATGGTGCATTCAAGAGGAGAAATGTTTAATGCGTTGAAAGTTTAAACGAGTAGATAGGCATGTACATGGCATTTCATTATCCCAATCTGTTTCCTCTCACTAACCACAATCAAATATTAATTTAGCTACCTAGCTGTTCATATCATTACTCGCTCATTATATAGGATGACCTTGTTAAGAAGTTTCACATTTTTTGACAAACGTAGCATAGGTTCATCATTCAGTATTACTTTAATGAAACTCCCATGTCAATCTTACTATAATTTTTATATCTATGATTAAGTGCTGAAAAGAATTGGGGAAACAAGTATCTAGAAAACAGCTAGCTTACCCTTTATACTTCTTCACTTCCCACCCCTTTATCGCATCAACCTCCATAAGAGCCTCTCTACACGCATGTACTTGCTCATTGCTCAACTTCTTGTCGCGCTCCAAATTTAGTATCGCATCCCGATACAACGGAGTTTTAAGCTTAACATCATCAGGTTCCACGTCGAAGAAAATAGGTAGGATCTCTTTATTACCTTCTGATTTGCAGGTATTTGCCACGATTTGCACAAGTTCGCGGAGGCACCATTGGCTCGAAGCGTAGGTCTGAGAGAAAACGGGTATGTATATCCTAGAGTTGTTGATTGCTTGGTGAAGCGATCCGTCAATTCTTTCCCCGACACGGAGCTCTTCGTTGTCTCGAAAGACGCAGATTCTAGCACCAGTCAAGCTATGGAAGAGGACGTCAGTGAATCCAGTCCGAGTGTCAGGTCCTCTGAAGCTCAGGAACACTTGGTACTCGCTTCCCGGTGATGTTCCTGCATCTAAGCTCACCATAGCAGGAGTTTGCAGCTTAGCAGATTTAGATCTCTCTCTCTCTCTCTCTCAGCTTGGCAGATCTAGAATGAATGAGATTATTGATATCTGTATAAAAGATGAAACTGACTTGTCAATAATTGAGGAGTGTGTTGCTGTTGAGTGAGTAGCTGAGATGAAAAAGATGTTTGTGGAGGGAGAGAGAAGGGTGGAATAGATATTTGGGAAACGCGTATTCCACGCACAGGACCACCTCAATTTCTTGCCAGACTGTCCTAAGCATATATGAATATTCAACATAGCCGACCGTTTCTAACAAATTCTAGATAACATTTCTGAATGGGTCATCCCTTTAATTTGCGAAAGTCGTAGAAGGTGGCCGTGACAACACGTCATGAGGAAAATAATCAAATGTTACTGTTAGTGGGCATATCCATAGATCATTCTGTATTGAACAAATTATGCGTGGTCTTTGAATTGTGGTGGAGTAATTTGATAGTGGTAGAAGTGGCCATCCACAAAAACATAGACGAGACGAGACGAGACTTGACTTCTTGAGCTTCTCTTATTTACATATTTTTTAATTCTTATTTTACCGTTAAACAACCTTTGCATTTTCTCATTCTATACAGAAGTTAGTAAAATCTGATGCAGAAAGATTAAATTGCTTTTTTTTTTTGTCTTGACAGCATGGAATTGCCAAAGCACAGGTTCATTGCAATGCCAAAGCATCAGAATGCAAATGTATAAACACCTAAAAAGAAAGAAGCAATAAGTGTATCAAAAATTCTAAAATTTATTGTAACAGTGCAATCGGTCCTAGGACATTTAAATAGCACAATTCAATTTTAAAACTTGTCAAATTGGTGCAATCAAATCCAATGGAAATGCCGACATGACAATCTTTCTATGACAGATGTGGCACCATAGGAAAAGGCTTGGAAAAGCTTTAATAGAAAAGCTAAAATCAAAAAGAAAAAGGCCAGAAAGTTTAGAAAGTAGAACCAACTCTGTTAAATATTTTGAAGCCCATTGAACTGAAATTCTTGCACTTGAGATCATGAGAGCTCCGAACTTGACAAATTTCCTAATTTGGATGAGAAGTGAACAATTGCATAGAGGTTATCATGACTAAAAATTAACGAAGACAATGGAAGTTGTGCTAGCGTTCGCAAGTCCTACCTAGACAAGTGAAATTCCTTTAACTGAGAAAATGAAGCCAATCAGAAGGAGCGGGGACATTGAGAAGTTTCAAGCTCAACTTAACCTATATAAACAACCTCCCAATCCACCCTCAATCACTTGCATAAATTTTACCTCATTGTCTCCAACTAGAGCCATCAAATTGGTCCGATTGAACCAAATTAGTCAAAGATCTAGAACAACCCGCAACAATTTAGATGAGACTTGTTGATTGTTTAATCTTTTGGGTGATGTAGCTAGCAAGGATCACCTAGAGGGGGGTGAATAGGTGATCTAAAACAATTTTTAGTAATTTATGCGGAAATGAAATAAATCACAGAAGAGTCCGAATAAAGTTCGGATTCAAGCATGATTATATAGACGGTGCTCTTGATGTGCGTAATGTAAAGTAAGAGATAAGGGAAAGAGAATCGCACACAAGTTTATAGTGGTTCGGCTTATAGCAAGCCTACGTCCACTCTCCCACGCTTACATGCCTCTACGGCTGGATTTCACTATGTAATCAAGAGGAATTACAACTTCTGAGTGTTAACACTCTTGTGTATGATAGGACTCTCTATCTCACACAATCACTCTTACAAAGTGTCCCTCAAGATCTTAATATTTGGCTCAGAATGACAAGAGAAAATGATTGGATTAAGCTCAGACTTTGGACTTGTTGATTCTTGATTCTGTACTTCTTCTGCTGCTCATTGATCTCCTTAAATACTCCTCCACTTCCAAACTAGCCGTTGGACAGCATTCAGAGGATCATCTTCCAATCTTCACCTTGGACAGATTTGTATACTAAGGATTGAGTAGCCGTTGGATAACAGATTCTGAATCCCGCTGATTCTGGTCGCCCATACAATCAGAATCTTGGTTTTCATAAGTAGAACTTTGTCCGTTGTAATGCATTCTTGTCATGATGTTTGATTGTCAATCAGTTTGATTCAGATTGAGACAATCAGAGTAACATTCCTTCCGTGAAATCCATGCCGATCACTACTGTTGTGTTACGTTCGAATTCTCGCGTCGAAGATATTCTCGTCGCATCGAAGAACTCCCCGCGTCCCGTCTCAAGACTTTCGCGCCCGAATAATTTCTTCTGCGTCCGACGAATTTCTTCGTCTGAATAATTTCTTCGTCCTGCATTTTCATCTCGAATAACTTCTCGATCTCGCATCCGAATATCTTCGCTTCTCAATCTCGTAACTTCGATTATGTGGGTCTTCAAAAATATACTTGACAGCTTGTAAAGTCTCCGAATAACTTTCTTCCGAGCTTCCGAATATACGGCACTGGAATAATTCGGAATAAGTACGTATTTACAATAACATAGAAGGTTTTGTCAACTTCAAAATTAATAGGAGTTTTCCTCAACAATCTCCCCCTTTTTGATGGTGACAAAACTTTCTTTGCAGATTGAATTATTTTGAAAATAAATAAACATATTAAGCTCAATAAACACAGATTGAAAGAGTAAACTCTGTTGATATCTGTGTCTTTCTTCCTTTGAGAATAACCTGTAAATCTGCAATATGATTTCTCCCCCTTTTTGTCATCAACAAAAAGAATAGTAATAGAAAGGATAATGCACTGATATTAAGAAATCAACCAGTCTAACAATAAGTATGAGAAATATTACATACCAATTGAAAAAAATAGAGAGAAATGTTGAAAAACAGGCTATTTTTTAGGAGTACGAATCAGTTGAAAATTTTCCAATATTGAGACAGCCTCCTCAATCTTCGAACTGCATTGACCTATGGCTTTATCCATGCTGGATGAGCACATAGCAATGGCTTCCTCTAATTCCGCCTTATCTGCTGCTGCTTGAAGTTGTTGAGCCTTGGTGTTTTCCTCAACAATTTTCTGTAGGTTCTGCAAATTTTGTTCTAGAGCAGCCTGCTTGTCCTTTATCTCGAGCAGAATAGAAAGGATGTTCTGATTTTCAGATGGCTGACCTTGGTCATTAGCTTCTTCAGACTGATTGTACCCTGCGGCTGATTCTGGTGGAATCTCCCCCTGAACAGGTGATTGTTCTTCAGAAACATGCTCTTCATGAATTGGTTCTGAAACATTTGGAACTGGTTCAGGAACATGTTCTGGTTCTGCAGTGTGACCTGATTCAAAGTGTGCTGCTTCTGCTTCCTCATTTGCATCATGCAGAAGAGTTTTTTCTTTTCTTTCTGTACACTTTGATTGGGGTTGGAGAATCGCCTTGCTTGCTTGCCGAATTGGTTCTTTTCCTTTGCTCCTTTTCTTTCGAACTTTCTTGCCAAATGATTTTGCCTCCGATTGTTGAGCCTCTTTCCTTTTTACTATGTCCCTTACATCTTCAAATTTCTTCATTTTGGAGAGCATTTTTTCTCCAACAAACATAAGTGGAAGCATAGTTTCTCGCAACTCACCAGGAATAGATAAATTGAGATACATGAAGATACGAGTGATCAAAGCTCCATATGGCAGATGACCCTTATCTTTCTGTAATGCTCTGTACATATGGAATATTATGAGGTGAGGAAGAGAGAAGGATTGACCTGTCAAGATAGCCCAAATGAGCTTGATCTCTGATTTCGAAAGGTCAGTTTTTGAGGCATCCTTTGTCTTTAAACAGTTGATGATGATCTTATGCAAGATCACCGATCGTCTTGATAAGTCAGAATAGGAGAGATGTCTTTTTGATCCTTGAGCAAAGTTCGGATTTTCAGAAGCTAGCTGAGAAGCCTCTTCAAGACTTACTGCCAATGGAGTAAAAGTGGAGTGTGTGGCTCCAATTATCCTTGCCAACTCATGCGCCTTTAAATCAACTTTCTTGTCACCAATAGTAAACTGTAACCAGTTTGGTGACAGAATTGAAAGATTTGAATAAAAGTAGGCAGTTAATTCAGCATAAGTGTTGGCAGATTGAAGGCAAAATTCATAAACCCCTAATTTTTCAAACAGGTTCTGTACAGAAATTCCAGCCTTCTCCAAATACTCGAAATCCACAGTTCTATTGTTCATTACTCCTCTATCAAGTAACACTGTAGTACATCCGATGCGCAAGGTTCTCGAATAAGCCTCCTGTTCCGGGCAAGCCGGATGCTATGCCAACTTTTATCTCAAAATTCTCAAAAAATCGTGCATCATCATCTGGAACAACAAATTTTGAAGCACTAGATGTCTTAGGGCTTACATGAACCGATTTCTTTTCAGATGGAGTTGAAGCTTCTCCAACTTTTTCTTTGCCCTTTCTTGAAGAAGTTTCTTGTGGAGTAGTGCTGGTTGGAACTTGCCCTGATTTAGTGCAGTATTCAGAATAGATTTTCACAAGGTGAGTTTCAGAGCGAAGATCGTTGTCTTTCAGACAAGCACGAAGAGCCGACTCAGAGGCATTATTCCTTTTCGGCCTTTGATAATTCTCCCACACACGTTTAATGTTTATGAACCGAAAATCGCTTTACCGCACGATTTCGGTGGAGACGAACGCCGAGGGTTGACGCTTTGAAGGGTCGGCATGATGATCGGATTCGAGTCCGAAACTTCTAAAATTCCGCCGGTGCGGTAGATTTTGAGTCTTGATTAAGAATACGAGAAGATCTTCTGTGGGCCACCATCTTGACCGGCATTATGATCACCTTTGAAGACGAAAGTTTCGATCTTTTGGAAGAAGAAGAGGAGAGTCTCTGTATATCGGAAGGTTTTTGAGAGAAAAAGATCGTACTGATAGGGTTTTGGAAAAGAGAAGGACGGGTTTAAAAAGGAGGTTGATAACTTTTTGGAAGGAAAAAGTACTTTTAGAAATTAAGAGATATCCTAAACAAGTAGGAAGAAAATATACTCTCTAAAACTTAACCAAACATATCAATATATTAGGCAGATTTTATCAGATAAAATAGAATGCATACCTGATTTGCTTCCAAGTATAACGAATTATAAAAGTATCCTGCCAAAAATGTCAATTATATACCCGCCAAAATTTGAATAAGGAACGTACCTGTCTTTGTGAGTCTGAAAAATGTTCAGACTGAGAATACTTGAGTCTGAACAATTTCCTGTCTATCAAACACTTCAAGAAAATGGATAAGTAATGCACAGTTTTTCTCTGATGAATTCAAATGAAGATTTATCAAGAGGTTTTGTAAATATATCAGCTAATTGATTCTTAGAATCAATAAATTGAATATTTACATCACCA